GTTCTGTCATATCGTTGACGTAGGGCTGGAAAATCACTTATTATTTCAATAAGTGATATTATTAAGACGTATTTGTTTAATGAAAAATGCCAAGCCACAAATTAATGGCTAAGTGACATGAATTAAATGTTATTGATAACTGTCGTAAACCCTGCTGTCCTTTTCTCGTGTTTGCCATTGTTGTGATTTCACTACTTATTCTTTTTAACAAACAGCACATTTCAGCGACTCCAACAAATACATAAGCATAATAGGCAGGAATACCTTATCAACAACGACACGTGGGACAGAAAAGACCTATTTTAGATTATTAGTCGTCATTTTCATCATAATTGGTCAGCTGTATCTAACGCCAATGTTGGTGGCCCTAATGGTCGTAAAAGCACATCGATATGCCACGGGATGTTTGCCTTGCCTACTGATATCTTCTCAGTAGCCCAATTTACATAAATATTTTAAAAATTATTAAGCGTGACCAGCTGGACTCCAGCCACGAATCCTGACAGCTACTGCTGCAATATTTGACTAGGTAGATTAAACAGTTGCGCCTATGATATTTTTTCGCTGTTAGGTATAGTATTGTCATGCAATAGAGTTCACTTGGCATCAGTTTATTGGGGTTAATATGGGCGGATTGGGGCCAACTCCAAGGCTTGTTAATGGCCAAGGAATTTCCTAGTTTATTGCACGCTGTAGAAAAAAAAATTATTGTTTGTGTTTGTTGTACCAAGGTAAAATATTTGGGATAAAAATCTAATTTAAGCACTATTGCAATCGATAATTTTTGAAAGAAATATGTTTAAAATAATCCTAGGCGCTTTCATTCGCCATTTTTTGTTGCGGATGGGCATTTTTACTTGAAAATGATTTGTCTTGTTTGGCTGATTACAAAACCATGAGTCAACCAGGAAATTGCCTAAGAATGAATGCTTAAAAAGCGGTTATTTAGGTAAATATTTTTAAAGAAATTTTATCATCAAGGTATTTTAAACATATAGAGTATAAAACTAATGAATGGTCACTCGGCTGAGACCAGGAAATATCACAAATTGTTCACCATTATTTCGAAAACGATGTGAACTTGTTATAATCGTACTTAATATGCACAGTTAGGTGGATCTGTTTGGACAATTGACTTCCAGTTCGACAACATCAGTGTGCACTGTTCGTGCACTGCATGTCAAAAAATGTGGGTGCAACTTAAGAAAGGATATCAGCAAAATACTTTTCATAAACTGCTCCCCTCTTTTGTTCTACTCAACATGACGCTCATACGGACAACATCCATCATGAACGCAATCATTATTCTAA